ATATATATATATATACATACATTGATTCTTTGGTTACATGGGTTGTTTATGTAGGAAACTTTATCGTGAATGTGGTTTTCAAGCTGTTTTGATCTGATTCTCGTTTCGAACGTATACTCTTGACCTATTGCATGAGGATAGCCTTACATTAGTTTTTCATGTTTTTTTTTTAATTTAATTTTTTTGCCTAGTTTCATTTAATCTCTCCTCTTTTGAGTTCACCTCTTTCTCTAAATCATCTTGGTGGTTCAAAAAAGAGGGCCATTTGGAAAAAAAAATTTAAGATGATGATTAGACGAGCTGGTGCCTCCGACTTTTAAAACAAACCAAAATAACATTTTTTCTTATGTTCGCTTTAATTTTCTTATAGCTAATAACTTATGTAACGTGATACTTTTTAAATGCATTAACATTGTCATTCACCCTAGCTAAGGATTATTCCATTCTATTAATGTCTCAACCTTTGAATATAATTCCACAATGCAAGCACTTATATTGTTACTTTTTATTGAAACCTTTAAATTCACCAAAATTACTACATGTTATATCTACTTTTTCTTGGAAAATATGTTAACTATCATAATGTTTTGGTCTCTTATAAACAACATAAGAAATTATTAGAATAATAATAGATAATATGCATAGCGATATGAAAGTTGCTAAGATAAGGCCAATACTTGAGATGAGTTGTTCTAATTAAGCTGAGAGAGGCTAATAAGATTGAAAGTCTATACTCAGACAAAAGCAAAAGTGTCCCTCACTCGACCAAAAATGCACCACTGACTCTTATGTAAACATATATGAATCAAGGTGATATGTATCACCAACTCATCTCCTAAAGCACTAGATGCCTTTTATATACTATTATAGTCACAAAATTTTTACCTACTTCAGTTAACATAACTATGCCCAGGTCAACCTTCCAAATATGCTTGTCTAAGGATAAGTTGATGTATGTTGCCTTAATTTTGAAAATCAAATATGCTCCTTCTAGAGTTGTGGGATCTTAACATTACATCAAGAATCATTCTCAAATAACTCGAGGAAGGAGGATGGTAATAAAAAATATTTTAGATGTATTGAAGTATCAATTTATAATCAAAGTTTTGGTCAATGAAAACTGCTTGGAGAACCCTAGAACACACGATTTCTCAGTCTTACGAGCTACCACTGTGAGAAATATGATTCAGGCGTCATAATTTCCTGGCATGCATTATTTCTGGGAAAATGTGGTGTCAAGAGATGGAGTGAAATTGTCACTAAATAAATTCCTAAGGAAAATCAATTTATATTATTCACAAGCAACCCCTAAATAGACTTGGTTAAAATTCTAAGATTGATCGACACACAGTAATGAAACTCTAATTTAGAAAGAGATAACACGTATCACAGTTTAAAGTGATGTACAAAGGTATACTATTATTGGTGGGGCCATAGTAAAATTTATATTTAGGACCACGTTCTTAATAGCTTACAAATGAAAAGTAAATAACCCGTTAAAATTCAGCAAAACTAGTTAGTTCCAAGCATAAAAACATTCTAACAGTTTCACAAAAAAAAAAAAAAATTATGAGAAATGACTAAAATTCAGTTAAAACGATAATATGAAAAGTTTATTTGAGTTGCATAACAAATGCATCAAATTAAAGGAGCACAATCACACTTAAGGTAAAATGATTAAGCCATCAATGAACATTCTACTTGCTAAATCAAGAAACACAAGAAATGGCCAAGACAAATTAGAACACACATTCTGAAGATTGAAGTTTATGAGTAGGCTGACGACTTGTAGGAGAATTGTTGGAGAGCATATAATAGTTTAGTACGTTATTAAGTGGTGGCTAATGACGGTGAACTCTCAATCACCCAGCCATTTGAAATCTCAGACTCTCAAACAAAAAAAAAAAAGGCAAGTATGACTCATTCGTCTCGGCCATTTGAAATCTCAGACTCTCAAACAAAAAAAAAGGCAAGTATGACTCATTCGTCTCATTCAGTATTATGATGAATGATATTAGAGATTAATGAGATTTATTGGTTTCATTTAGGGCCATTGGATCTATCACGATCGCGACACAACCGTTTTCAAAACACGAAATTGGTTCTTTCGTCCGACGATTCAACTGGGATTTGACAAATTCCTCACCGTTTGAAAGTATAAATGATTTTTATTGTATTGAGACCAGACAAATCACTGGTTCACGGTCGAAGTGTTCAAACCGACCGATCAATTTTGATTTTCAAAGCAATGTAAAATACTAATACATTATAGCATGCATTTCGGTTCTATTCCTCATCTAAAAGTGCTTCTAACCATTTCCTAAACTCAATCTTTTTGTCATTTGGAAGAGCTATTTTCATCCAATTTTTTTTAAAAAATCATTTTCTTAAAAATTTATTTAAACAAGTTTTTTTTTATTAAAGCAAAAACGCAGTCAAATAAAGCCTATGAAGCATTCAAGATATCTTTTCAATTAAGATTATTCTTATAAATATATAATAATTTAATTATATTTTATAATAATTAATATATTTAAAAGATAATTTGTGCCATATAAAATTAAGTGTGTGCACATATATGTATATATATACAAGTAAGTAATTAATTATGTGCCATATAAAATGGAACGCTAATTTCCGCTATATTTGACTGATTAGAGGAAAAATATGTCGATTAATGCGGGGTGGACTATTCTAGTTGAATTAGCGTCCCATTAATTCCCATTTATTGCCTTAATTTCGTAACGAACCTTGTGAAGAAACAAAATAGCTGAACAGTCCAACGTACGAAACAGCTTAAGAAGCTGCTGAGCTTCGTCAAGGATTTGTTTTCTATAAGAACTAGATTCTGTTCTCAGTCTCAATAATTTCAATACCTGAATTGAGACTCCATTAATGATAGTTCATCGTCTTCCTTCTCATCCATCTCTGGTGTTAGGGTTGAGAGTTAGAGGCTGCCTGCTCGGTTGCCTTTCTCGGCGTCGTTGCCCAATCTGTATGATTTCTTAGCTTTAGTGTTCATCTCCTTCTGAAATTTTGAATCGTTTTTTTTTAATTTTTTATCGGGATCGAGATAGAAGAGGTTGGTGGGACTATTTCTTTTGTTGAATGTCGGGGTTTTGTGGAGTATCTCTTTTTGTTTTAAGAAATTGGCTGGATTCTATTCTTTTAATTTCTGTACTGAAATTGATCGCAGAATGTGGTTGATTAGTCGTTTTTGGTTGAAATAGTATGACTGATTAGTGTTTTATTGATTCTTAGTGTGGAGTAATTTGTTCACAATTGATTGTTTTTTGGTTTTATTCTGTTTGAAAGGTTCCATACAGAGCAAGAGGTTGTCTGCTATTCTCCAAGCGGGTTGTTAGGTTTTTTAAAATTTTGTTTAAGACTAATGAATATTTAATTTTCTATAAATAAGCAAAGGACAATGAAAAGTTTTCCTGGTTACTTTATAAACTGGATAGCCAGCGAAGTCAGAGACCTATCAAAGAACTTGGATGAAGTAGAAGCTCTGCGCCTATAGAATCAATGGTAGAACCACTCAGCCTTAGCTGTTAAACAGCTGTTAAATAATATGAAAGCATTACCCTTAAATTCTTTTCCAACTATATATATCATAGAAACTCTCACTTGAAATTCTATTTCCACCATTGTGCGGAATCACGGCATACTTTTCCAGAGCTCTTTTTGCATGCTTATTTATTCTTTTGGCTATTTTTGTTGAAGTATGAAATCTTACCGCAGTTTTCCTTACTGCAGTTTTCTTATTTCTAAATTACCCATTTTAGAGTCCAAAGGCCTTCATTAGAGCTTAATACATGGAATGTAAATTTACTAGTAGTTGATCTAGTGGCAGAGTTGTGACAATGAGTGATCGAATCATTAGAAGAAATGAGTGTTTTCGATATCTCGGCTTTATTGTTCAAAGTGATGATAATATAGATAGGAAAGTTATTAGTAGAATTCAAGTTTGATGGTTGAAGTGGAGGAAAATTTTATAAAATGATGGTGGGACCTGCAATGCTATATGATGGTTGAAGTGGAGGAATGCATTCATAGTATAACTTATTGTGTGATAGAAAAGTACATAAAGGAAAATTTCCTTTATGTCCAAGTTATTGTATGATAGAAAAGTACAACTTAGACATAAAAGAAAATTTTATAAGGGTGGTGGGACCTGCAATGCTTTATGGCTTAGAATGTTGTGTTATGCGATTTATAAGGGTGGTGGGACCTGCAATGCTTTATGGCGTAGAATGTTGTGTTATGCGAAAACAATGCGGAAACGAAGAAATTCACACAACAAAAATCAAACATATAAAATTTATGTGGTTCAGTGCGGAAACAAATAAATTCACACAACAACAATCAAACATATAAAATTTATGTGGTTCAACATTAAGGATTTGCCTACGTCCATAAGGAGGGAGATTCCACTTGCATCGAATGGGGAGAAAGAAAAAATGGCTTGGTGTTATAACTTCTGCACCTTTCACCACACCTCTCTCATAAACCTTTAGTCCTTTTTATAGAGGAGGAATATGCCATACAAGTAAATAAAGCCAGAAGACCAAATTATCGATTGCCATACAAGTAAATAAAGCCAGAAGACCAAATTACCCATAATTACAAAAAAAAAACATAAATATAACATGTGGCCTATAAAAGAGAAGCATAAAACTAAGTTAAGTGTTGCTGAGATGAGAATGCTTAGGTGGATGAGTGGCTTTGCACTTAGATAAAAAATGCGAAACTATATATTTGTGAAAGGGTTGGTGTAGCTCCAGTGACAGACAAGATTAGAGATAATCGTCTTAGATGGTTTGGTCACTTTAAACGTCAACCATCTGATGATCCGGTTAGGGGAGTAGATATTTTAGATTTGACTTATATTTTAAGAAAGGAAGAGATAGACCTAAAAAAACCTGGGCATGTTATATAAAAAATGATCTTAATTTATTGGAATTATAAAAATATGGCACTCAATACGATACAATGAGAAAAGGGATTCAGGTAGCCAACCCTACTTAGTGGGATAAAGGTCTGCTGTTGTTGTAATGAAATCTGATTCTGATTGCTCGAATTAAGTGATTAGTGAACTGATAGGTTTAGTTCTTTTCAGATAATTGGTTCAATAATTCGTCAATTATGGTTAGTACAAATCTCATCATACTTACTGATCACTGATAGCTTTCCTCAGTTGTGGGTTTCATTAAACCAGATCAGTAACAGACGAAATCTGAGCTATCAAAACCTCGATGGAGGTCAAAGATTATTATACAAAAGATGGTACAACTGACATTCATGGCAATCCTGCTGATAGGAAGAAAACTGGCAACTGGAGGGCTTGCCCTTATATTCTCGGTATTAATTTCTTCTCCTCCAATTGATTATTTACGGTAGTTGTAATTTCTCTTAGGGTTTCTTCCTTCTAATCCACTCTTCCATCAACAGCAAACGAATGCTGTGAAAGACTGGCATATTATGGAATGAGTACCAATCTGGTAAACTACATGAAATTTCGTCTCCATGAAGGCAATGCTACAGCATCGAAGAATGTCAATAACTGGTCTGGAACCTGCTACATCATGCCGCTCCTTGGAGCTTTCATTGCCGATGCCTATTGGGGTAGATATTGGACGATTGCAGTGTTCATGATCATATATATCATTGTAAGTAGTTTTTTTCTGAAATTTGATCATTTTATATAGTAAAATTTACACACATACAGCTCAATCTTATGTGTTTACATATCTAACACTTCAATTTTATGTACATACATTTCAGGTGTATTACACGTTTAGTAGTTAAAATAATGATATATTTCATAAAAATGCAAAAATTGAAGTTTATATGTTAGATATGTAAATGCAAAAGAATTGGGTAGCATGTATGTAAATGCCCATGCACTTTAATCTTTAATATCCTACCAAAAGTATCATCACCACAAACTTTTTAAAAGTGAAGTATATCTTCATTCATAAGTTCATGACACCACAGTGTTATAAATTGTAAATATCAAAAGTTCTTAGATATGCAAATACAAAGGAATTGTGTGGAATGTATGTATGTAAATCTTTCTAATATATTTATTAATCTTAACTAGAATCTGAATTAATCTAGTTCTTGTTTGTAGGGCTTGATTCTTCTAACCATGACAGCATCTGTGAAAGGACTGAAACCATTGTGTCATGATGGTATATGTGACCCAACTACTGGACAAATTGCAGCAGTTTTCGTTGCCTTGTACTTGATTGCCCTTGGAACAGGAGGTATAAAGCCCTGTGTCTCTTCCTTCGGGGCGGATCAGTTCGATGAATCTGATGAGTCTGAGAAGCGAAGCAAGACCTCATTCTTCAATTGGTTCTACTTCTCTATAAACATTGGGGCGCTCGTTGCTGCCTCTGCATTGGTTTATATACAGACGCATGTGGGCTGGGGATGGGGGTTCGGGATTCCGGCAGTGGCAATGGCTATTGCTGTCGTTAGCTTCTTCGTTGGTTCTCCATTGTATAGACACCAGAAACCTGGAGGCAGCCCGCTTACGAGAATTGCTCAGGTTCTTGTTGCATCAGTTAGGAAATCTGGTGTGAAGGTTCCATCAGATAAATCTTTGTTGTATGAGGTTTCTGATAAAGAGTCTGCTATCGAAGGTAGCCGCAAGCTTGAGCACACGGAATTACTGAAGTAAGTGCGATAAAGTTTAGGGGCATTTACATATATAGCAAACAATTCTCATGTGTTTACATGTCTAACACCTCAACTTTCACAAAGACTAACCTTTTTGCTTTGATATAACTTTTTGTTGTTTTTATGTTGAATCCATCGATTAAATTTTATGAATTATGAATGATATTGACAGTTGATTATTTGTGCTCAATCTGAGTTTTTTTATCTTCTGTTAATCTTTCTCTTCTGGCATATCTAATACTAAAAACAAAAGGAATAATTCTTTTATAAATTACGATAAAAATTTTTCATAGGTTATATTTTATTGCCACACTATTAGAAATGAATTGAAGATGAGAGTATTGATTGTACACAGTTGAAATCTATCAAATTTGCCAAAAACTTCTTTATTATTTTTCCTTCTTTCTACAACTTTCTATGCACATCACACAGTTATGCCAAATTGTAAGTTTTTTGTAGCATATGTACACAATTCTGCATTCCTACAACCTAATTACCTCAAAATCGAACCAGGTTCTTTGATAAAGCCGCCGTGGAGACGCAGGAGGACAAAACGAAGGTCCCCATAAATCCATGGAAGCTCTGCACAGTCACCCAAGTCGAAGAACTCAAGAGCGTTGTTCGACTCCTTCCTATATGGGCCACCGGCATCATCTTCTCCACAGTGTACAGCCAAATGGGCACCATGTTCGTTCTCCAAGGAAACACTCTCGACCCTCACATCGGCCCCAACTTCGAGATCCCCTCGGCTTCCCTCTCCATCTTCGACACCATCAGCGTCATCGTCTGGGTTCCAATCTACGACCGCATCGTCGTCCCATTGGTGCGCAGAATCACAGGCAATCCTCGCGGCTTCACGCAGCTGACTCGTATGGGTATCGGACTCTTCGTCTCCATCTTCTCCATGGTGGCCGCTGGTCTTCTCGAGGTGGTGAGGCTCCGAATCATAGCCAGGCATAACTTGTATGACTACACAGGCTTCCTTCCCATGTCCATATTCTGGCAAGTTCCTCAGTACTTCATCATCGGAGCTGCTGAAGTCTTCACCTTTATTGGGCAATTGGAGTTCTTTTATGATCAGGCTCCTGATGCCATGAGGAGCATGTGCTCTGCGCTCTCGCTTACAACCGTTGCCTTGGGGAACTACCTCAGTTCTCTTCTGGTTACTATTGTGACTTCAATCTCTACGAGGAACGGGAAGCTCGGATGGATTCCGGATAATTTGAACCGTGGACATCTTGATTATTTTTTCTGGCTTTTGGCTATATTGAGCTTGTTAAATTTATTGGTTTACCTTTTGATTGCCAAGTTTTATACTTATAAGAAGCCGGCGCAGGTCGAAGGTTGATGTTCCTGCCTCTGCGTTAGAGGAAGATGTAGAAGAACAGAGTAAAGAGATTTTTGTGCCATAAATATTGGTTAAGTTTGTGTTACAGAATTTGGTTTTAGATTGCTGAGTTGTATCGGGCTCTTGTTAGCCTCTGCATCATTAGCCTGTGTAACTTAAGATTAGTATTTGGTAACTAAGTTTACAGTTTGTTTTGCTAGAAAATGTTTAGGATTGGTTTCTTACCTGTGATTATGCAGTTGATTATTTCTATGAGGTTTATGATAGAGGGTGGGCCTTACTGATGATTATAATGTCTCAATTATGATTTAGTGGTCATAGCTTTGTTCTTTCACAGCAAAATTAGTCTCCACAACTTCATAAAATTCAATCTAATGGTGAGATGGCTTGGCTGACCTCTAATTTGAGAAGGGATTTGGAGATTCATGATTGGGAAAGAAGAGAACTAAGATCCGCTAATGCTTCAAAAGAGGGTAGAAGATTTGGTGTTGGAGAGGCCGAGGGACCAATGGTGGAGCCAGAGGAAGGTTGGGCGAGGCACTTGTTGTCCATAAATTTTTACAAAACTTTTTAATATCATATAATATATTGAAAGAGTAGGAGTCACTAAATTTAGTAAATATTAATTTTAAAATTTTTAAATGAAATAAGAGGAAAATCTTCATGTCTTAAGCCTATGCCTATACATACTAAATTTATTAAAATATATAGTGTTGTTTCTATGATCTTAATACACAATGGACTATAATGATCTTGCATCACATCTTACATATATTGTAGGTGTTTTATTTTCATATTCGGTTTTTTCTCTCGAATTACTTATCCTTCTTTATTAGCAAGCTCAAAACATACAAATTTATTTATGCCACGGTTAAGATGATATAGCTTATGAAGTAGAAAATTATTTATATTATATTATTGGGGAATTGAACTTATTTTAGACTGATTTGATAAAGTTTATGTAAAAATCTTATGGCTTTAATTATTTTTTTGGTTTTAATCGCGTACCTGGCCATGATATGATAGTATAAAAAATAATTAATTTTTTTTTTTAATATTTAGTGTTGATGCATGCAATATTTAAAGAAAGTTTTTACAAACATACCACACTATTCTTATGTATTTACATATATAACCAAGTTAACTCACATATTTACAAACACAATCCAAATCTTTAACATCAACCGGGCCTATTTTTAAAAAGTAAAATGCACATTTTTATCGCCTGTAAATCATGATTGTTACTGCAGTGTCGAGCTAAAGGCGAGCAGAAACTGTGCGCTTTCCCCATATGGGATAATGGGTCCGGGATGGACTGACACAAACAAGCTTATTAATTGCGCTCGGGTGCAGGAAAATATTTGTGTACGTAAAATATTTTCCTTATTTAATATAATTGTAATTAGAGTTCTGCAATATCTTAAAACATGAAGTGTGATTGTTCAGGAAAATATTTGTGCACGTAAGACATACGCAGCGTTGTATACATCAGAAGTTATTTAGAGAGTACAGAAAATTTATATCCGTATTATACCCCCCTCTAACCTCCCTTACCTGTACCTACCGGAACTACAGAAGTGCAGAACTTATTTATAGTTTACAGGTAATTTACAGATAAATTACAAGAGGTTACAAAAGATATAACAAAGACATACGCAGCGTTGTATACATCAGAAGTTATTCAGAAAGTACAGGGAATTTATATCCGCGTTATACCCCCTCTAACCTCCCTATAACTTACCTGCACCTACCGGAACTACAGAAGTGCAGAACTTATTTGTAATTTACAGATAATTTACAGATAAATTACAAGAGGTTACAGAGGATATAACGCAGATGTAACCACCCTATACCCTCCGAATAACCTACCGAGACATGCAACTCTGCATACGTCTTAAGTACGCAAATATTTTTCGATTGTTCAAATCCCAAATTTAACAAATTTGAGGAAGATCTCATCGTGACGTCGCACAAGAAAGAAACGCAGTCACCAAACATTGCAATCAAATTTGATTAGATTTAAATCTTAACAAATATTTTTGAATTTAACACATCTGTTAATCTGAGTTTACAAGATTTGCTAAGTTTTATTCAGCTTGAATTCTCGGCGCATCCAAACACCTGCTGAGTCTAAGCAAATCAGTTTCCATATTTAGTATTGCTCGTCATTTTTCTATTCACATTTGATTTGTTATTATTTGATGTTCGAAATAAATGACCACAAATAAACATGTCAATTAAAAAAACTAAAATTGTTATTTTAAATTTGAAATACCAAACTCAAGATCTTGTCAAATAATGATGATTTTTAATCTTAACAAGCTTGCAACAAACTTAATCCAAACAAACTGATGGAATTGATAAACATAATGATGTGGTAAGTAGCTCAAAGTGAATGAAGTCCATTTTTTGCAATGAATTTCTAGCATTTTTCTTAAAGAAAATAATACATTTATATTCTCTTAAAATTCACTAAAGAAAGATTTGAAACATGCCTTCTCTTAAAAGTCAAGCTCAACATAACTTTCAAAACTCAATGAACAATTGAAAATATACTATAAATTCTACATAAATACCAAATAAATATCATAAATATACAATAAAATAACAAAAAGCGAGTGCTTGAATCCCACACCTTGAAATTCTTTAAATTATTTCCAGCAAATATGCTACACATTCAAACAAAGGGGTTTTACATTCTTCTCACATAATTCTCAAAAAATTATATACCTACCACCTATTCTATAATATTTGTTTACATATATATAACTCTCATATCTTTAAGATCATATCAAAAATATCACTAATATATTTTTTATAAAACCTAATATAACTTGTCATACATATAGTTTAATATGATTATAATGCTGAACTGCTATTTAACAAAATACAAAATTTAGAAATAGATATATAAATGCATAAGAATTATGTGATCTATGTAAATCCACCTTAAAAGAAATATGAAAAACATTTAAAACCTAAAACAGGCATGCCAAATAGCAACATCATCTCAGCTGAGATAGATATGGATAATAGAAATATGTGCCGCAAAACCTGTTAACAAAATCAAGTGAATTAAATACGGCTGGCATATCATAACCCCCATAAAGAAAGCCTCTTGCCTGCAATTCTCATATAATTCCATGCTTTGATTTGCTTTTTGTGTGATATTATGACCAAATTCAATCTTGACAAGCTTGCAGAACTTTAGAAACAGTATAAAACAATTTCAATTGAAAAACCTCTTATTGCTTGCTGTTAAAGCAGGGCTAAAGCTTAAGAAGCACAAGAACACAAAAATCAACAACATAATCATAACGTACTGAAGACAAATACCTCATCCATCAGATGATTTCAGATGCAAAAGTAGGAACAAACTGATGATTTTTCCAACACGATAAATTTAAAGAAGTGGTCAAAAATAGATTTTGTAAAAAATATAATTCAAGAGAAACGAATACGCAAAAGCCAAATTTTACAAAATGTTGAGCATTCTAATTGGTAGGCATTAAGCAGGACTTAACTTTTGAAGGGATAAAGAAACCAAGCTCAACAAAAGCAGCAGGGAAAAAAAAACCTTTGCACCAATCCAGAACTACAATGGTGGGCTCACCTGAAAGCTCATGGACTTAGAGACTGGCGGTGTATCTGAAGAATCCAATCAGAGTAGTTGCTGCCACCTGCAAATTGGTCCTCGACTAACTTTGATATAAACAAGATGCCTTCCCTTGGTTGTTCGCCTTGCCTTACTACATGGAGGAGTTGATAATATGAAGGATCGCTATTCCTTAATTGTCGTAGAATCATCTTTATCTTTCTTGTGACATCATTGTCCTGTTCACAGAATTGAACCTGGGAGAAAAGAAGGGTAAGCAAAGAAGAAATATGAATCATACTGGTCATCTCAAACTTCATGCCGGCAGAATTACTAACAATACTTGAAAATTACATTTTATTGTCATTCCAATTATTAGTCTCTTTAACATAGTGAATTATATGAATATAGTACATGATATTTGGTGAATATCTGAAAATTTGCGACTCCCCCAATATCATCTCAATATCTAACAACTTTTTGCAACTTTGCAATTTTCATGTGGCAAGCAGATGTTAAAATTATCTTTATCAGACATCAAATATATGGGAAGTTTAAGACATTGCACACAATTCTAATGTATTTACTTATCTCACACTCAAAATTTTATCTTCATATATATAACACTGCTTTCAACCTATGTGTGAAAAGGTGCATTTTATTTTTAAAAAGTGGTAATAGTGTTTTTTTTTATGTGATATTAAAGATTCGAGTGCTATGAGTGTAAATATAAAAGTTTAGGTGAGATATGTAAATACACAAGAATTATGTGCTATATATGTAAATGCCCCACAATCCTACCATACTGAGTGTACAAACTCTATAGAAGCTCAATTTTTGATAAGCATCATTGCATCATAATTTAGCCAAAGCAACTTTGATTAACAAGTAGCACAATTACAAACAATTATTGAAACGTAAAATGTGGCCATTTCACACGACACAAGTTTTTCATTTAATTAAGAAATGTTTATAATCATCTCCATGCCTCACTCTCTACGATAACATAGTGCGTCATAAATCATGACTTTTGGGAAATGTTACCTCTTTGCCATCCATATACCATCTACCATAAAAGATTCTTCTTTTTTTTTTTTTTGCAATTTTTTAGTGGCGCAAAACAAAAGCAACAAGAAATATATGGCATGCAAGGCTGGTGTAATATCTTCAAAGACATGATTTGGAAGATTCACTAATGTAATGATTGACATGAGATCCAATCAAAATAAAGAATAATATCCACAATTTGAGAAACAAAACTGTAAGGGGAGTCTCAAAACTACTAATTTGTGTCACCAATATCATCATGACGGGCAGCAATTCAGAAAGAATGGAGACTTCAAGAAAAAGGCTGCTTTAAGAAGTTGAAACCAAAGAACTAAGCTAAAATACTTGCTTGGCATTTAAGCTGTAAACTCCTGATAAAAAAATCTTTATATTACAACAAAATTATATAACAGACCTATTGAAACAAATAAGCAAATCCAGATTCAAGTCAATCAAGAGACCCATGGAGTTTAATCATAAATTTGGAGATGCTTAGAAGACACAAAAGTAGAAAAAAGTTCCCATCAAACTGGGAAGACTTATCTACTTGACACAAACTAGACTTAATATTAACTATATTATCATTGTGAAAAATTAATTCATGCATAATCTTAAAACATCGCACCTTAGGGCAGTGCATCAAATTTTAGAATATCAAAACTGGACCCCGAGTAAAGACTATTATTAAAAAAAGATAACATTTAACACTAAAGGCCTAAATAAATGAAATTATACATGAGTTTACTCAAGGATATCACAAATTATTAGAAGACAATCTCATAACTCAAAGAAAATAAAAGACTAAAATTTAGTAGAAAGATTTATAGCAGAAATCAAATTTAGTTGTCGCTAGGAATCTGTAAATTACTATAGCTAAATATTTTATTTTTTTAGAAAGATATAAAAATTGAATGAAAAGATCCTATAAACACTGTTGTGATAGCATATCAGCCATCACTTTCTTCAATATCCCAGAGCAACATGCAACACCATGCATATTTTAGTCAATAAAAATTTTATAAAAATAAAGCCTGATCGTTGTTTAATTTATACACCATTTGTTACCAAAAGTGAAACTCACATTCATACCAAAAATTTATCAATAGTAGTCCTTCCAAAATTATCAACAAATTTGAAATTGAAAACAAATATTATTCAATTGAAAGGGAGTGCAAAATCATTCATATAATTATTGCCCAAAATATCAGCCTATAGATCCACCTCCCAACCAGCGCTCCTTTGGTACCATCCGCCACAATCTGTCTACCTTATGTTCTCCTGCACTACATCAAGACTACCTTATGTTCTCCACTAAAGCTATTAATTCTACTCTTCCCTTCAAAAGTTCACTACCACATCATTGATCCGTTAGTTAATAAATAAAACCTCACTAATTCGAGAGGGCTCTTTGATTGTAACTAACTGTATAGAAAATATTTGTCCTTGATTTTATATTTTTTTCTACAAAATATTTTCTAAGGATTGTATAAATACTAGATAAATATTAAAATGAAATTCCTTTAATTTTTTCCAATTCCTGTCGGAGGAGGGAATATATAAATAATACTTTACTTCAAATCATAACAATGAAAAAAGCATCCTATACTCTATTTTCATAAATAAAAAGCACAATTTAAATTAAAATGAATATTATCTTCTAATTTAAATCTATTCTCACCATTTAAATTAAATGTAAAGTAAAAATTGTCCAAAAAAAGATAATTTCAACTTTCTTCAAGTTGAAATAAACTAAATCAACAAAAAAATGATTAAATTCATGAATCGGTCTGATTTAATATAGACTTAGTCTAGCCATGATTCATGTATTATGCCAATCTGTTGAAATATGTTCTTTAAGGCCGAAGCACTTGTTTTTAGGGAGTTCGATTATTGTACCCTTTTAGTAGATATTAAACAACTTTACCAACTCTTAATGTGTGATCAATGAGTATTCGTAGGAGGTTGATTACTTTAATGAACCAAATATTTCTGAATGTTGAAAGAACCTATAATGATTTCACAATAATATTCTTGTCCACCGTGTCATTTTGTTTAGTAATAGCAAATAAAGCACAAGAATAATAGCATTATTCATAATATAGAAGTTTGACCGAAAAACATAGATGAAGTATTAGATCTGAACAGTTAAACAAAGAACTTCGATTAAAATTTTAATGCAAATCAATCAGATATCCATTTGAAACCAATTTATTAAGTGCATTGTGAAGGTTAGAATATGATGCACGAGCTTATTAAATGTTTCTGGAGGAAAGCATTTTGATTTATTTCTAACAAGTATAAAAATGTCTTCATCAATACCTGCTTTTTTTTTTTATAAACATCAACTATAGCTTTATATTCTCACTTTGATTTAGAATTTGTAATTTTATATTAGCATGGAATGTATGTATACACTCACAAAAAAGGTGAACCAAATAGAAAATATGAAGCATGCTGTGTAATGATATACTATCTACCGTGATACAAATCATAAACAACTTCAAAAGATTTCTTTGTATTGCAATGAATAAAACAATTGTAAGAAAACTATGCAACTGAGAAACAATAGATCATTTGTTAAACTATTAATTGTTATGTCAGGGAATCCTTACCCCAATTGTGTCAGGATGGCATCAAAAACATTTTATTTATTTAAGATTAATACAGCATAAACTCTTCACATACATAGCACTAATTTCAAAGTAAATTAAATGGTTTTCATGCACATCCTGATACAAAATTATATCTCAGGACATCCCACACAATATTTTATGTTACTAAAGGTAAAGTTAGAACTATAAAGGCGTGGGCATGTTGTATAAAAAAAATAATCTTAATCTATTAGAATTAAATGAAAATATGATACTCAATAGGACACAATGGAGAAGAAGAATTCTCGAAGCCGGCCCCACATAGTGGAATAAAGGCTCATCGCTGTTGGTGGTGTTGTTGAAATCATCAATCAAACACTATTGTAATCATTAATTAAACTTATATTGAAACTACTTATATGAAAAGCATATGTAAATTTTAAAGTAGTACCAAATAATTTAAAGTTCTCCAAAGGTAACTAGCAAAACTTAAGCCATAATAAAAAAAGTATGGAACTGTTGCAATCCGTGTAATCTAATAAATGCTTCAGAAAATAACCTTGATTATATGTGAAGCATCAACACTTCCAAAGTAAACTATAAAATGCATTATCCATAAAATCAATATTTATGGATAAACCTAGAATGAAATCCATATTTAAATCTAGAATGAAATCCATATTTAAATCAATTCATAAAGCATATGAGGTAGGAAAGGAGGGCAATGTCAAGAGGGTTGTTTGGTAGCCTTGCATAAAGGGCCCTTGCAACATTGTGAAATGAAAACAAAAATCTTGCTTTATGCAAGACAAAAAGAAATACAAAGAGACTAACATATGTCATCCTGTCTCGCCAAGCTGTTAGTAGACCATCATGTAATTCTCATAAAAAAAATCATGAAGTGAGGTGTTGGGGATGCATGATACAGAACACTTAAGCAAGTGAAGTGCTACTATATTTTGCCTTTACTACAATGAAATACAAAATAAAAGTCAAGACATAAAAGATAAGCATTATATAATCCATCTATTCCAAGACCTTAACATTAACAACAGTCAACAAGGCATCAGCTGCTTTGTTGTCAACAACAACCTAGTTTCTAACTAAAAATGAAACCGCGAAGATATACAACCGCCTTAACAAGCCTAAAGCTAAATTTTCTTTGAGATGGTAGATACTTCAAAAAATCATTATCAAAATATCCCACGAATTCTCCTAGTGCCCAAGTCTTTGAACCAAAGAATAAATTCGAAGTCGTGAGTTGTGTATTTTCATATTGTAAAAGTCAAATTTTTGTTGAAGTATGCAATTGGATAATTTTCTTAGCTTGGCAGGCAGCCAACGACAACACTTGAAAAATTACAATATGCCTTAAAAACTTTTGACAAGTTTGGTAACGTAAGGATTAGAGTGAAAATCATTAGTTTTTTAATAGTATAATGGCCTTTTATGAATGCGTCCAATAAAAGTTCGTATGATTAAGTACATTAATTAGTGGAAAATAATGTTTGCTAAACCTCTTCAGACTTTATGATAGAAAATCACTAAACCATTAAACCTTGAATATAAATGATGGACTTAGGTCAAGCCTAATTTTGATAACCTCTACATTATTAAAA